CCATAAATATGATATTGAGAACCTTCAGTGTGCTCTCTCACTCAGAGTACTGAACCTTCAGTGTGCTCTCTCACTCAGAGTACTGCTGCTCAGTTTGCTCTCTCACTCAGAGTACTGCTGCTCAGTGTGCTCTCTCACTCAGAGTAACTGCTGCTCAGTGTGCTCTCTCACTCAGAGTACTGCTGCTCAGTGTGCTCTCTCACTCAGAGTACTGCTGCTCAGTGTGCTCTCTCACTCAGAGTACTGCTGCTCAGTGTGCTCTCTCACTCAGAGTACTGCTGCTCAGTGTGCTCTCTCACTCAGAGTACTGCTGCTCAGTGTGCTCTCTCACTCAGAGTACTGCTCAGTGTGCTCTCTCACTCAGAGTACTGCTCAGTGTGCTCTCTCACTCAGAGTACTGCTCAGTGTGCTCTCTTACTCAGAGTACTGCTCAGTGTGCTCTCTCACTCAGAGTACTGCTCAGTGTGCTCTCTCACTCAGAGTACTGCTGCTCAGTGTGCTCTCTCACTCAGAGTACTGCTCAGTGTGCTCTCTTACTCAGAGTACTGCTCAGTGTGCTCTCTCACTCAGAGTACTGCTCAGTGTGCTCTCTTACTCAGAGTACTGCTCAGTGTGCTCTCTCACTCAGAGTACTGCTCAGTGTGCTCTCTCACTCAGAGTACTGCTGCTCAGTGTGCTCTCTAACTCCAGAGTACTGCCTGCTCAGTGTGCTCTCTCACTCAGAGTACTGCTCAGTGTGCTCTCTCACTCAGAGTACTGCTGCTCAGTGTGCTCTCTCACTCAGAGTACTGCTGCTCAGTGTGCTCTCTCACTCAGAGTACTGCTGCTCAGTGTGCTCTCTCACTCAGAGTACTGCTGCTCAGTGTGCTCTCTCACTCAGAGTACTGCTGCTCAGTGTGCTCTCTCACTCAGAGTACTGCTCAGTGTGCTCTCTCACTCAGAGTACTGCTGCTCAGTGTGCTCTCTCACTCAGAGTACTGCTCAGTGTGCTCTCTCACTCAGAGTACTGCTGCTCAGTGTGCTCTCTCACTCAGAGTACTGCTCAGTGTGCTCTCTCACTCAGAGTACTGCTGCTCAGTGTGCTCTCTCACTCAGAGTACTGCTCAGTGTGCTCTCTCACTCAGAGTACTGCTGCTCAGTGTGCTCTCTCACTCAGAGTACTGCTGCTCAGTGTGCTCTCTCACTCAGAGTACTGCTGCTCAGTGTGCTCTCTCACTCAGAGTACTGCTGCTCAGTGTGCTCTCTCACTCAGAGTACTGCTCAGTGTACTCTCTCACTCAGAGTACTGCTGCTCAGTGTTGATAGACGAGATGGCAGAGAGCGTCACTGCCCACATAGAGGCAATAAACAATTTAAACTATTAGAAATACCTCCAAGAACAGGGAAAGTACTCTCTGGAAACAAGGCGAGAGAGATACGTGATTATATACTAATGGAAGATACATGATAGCCAAGTTCCAAATATACACACTACCATAACAAAGAGCTGGAATGAGAGACGTGGGAGAAAATGTAAAATAATATTGGTGAAAAAGCAAGAAAACTACGGGCATAATAAGAGAACACTACGCCAACATCCTTGGCCCCGACTTCGGATAGTTGTCTCCGTAATGAGCCAAGTGAACCAGGCTGCAGCGGATGTGCAGGAAAGCGGGCAACCAGCAGCAACAGCCTAGTTGACCACTCAAACTATACGCAAACAATGAAATTCTCGAAACTGGTAATAGATAAATCACAGGTAACCGCATTAATCACGGTATATACTGTTCACATTATACAAACAGTTTATTATACACAAAATATTGCAAAAATATATTGCAAACAAATGTAAAATTAAAAGTATACGTATACTGTATACGTATACTGTATACGTATACGTATAGTGTATTTCAAGTACATAACAACCATGAATGTCGTAGATGAATGGTTCAGAGAACCGACATGTTGATAAATTAGACACATGTGCAACTCTTGGGTATCTTTATTGAGGAAACGTTTCGCCACACAGTGGCTTCATCAGTCCATACAAAGGAGAATGGTGAAGAACAGGAGGAGTTTGAGGTAATCAGTCCCTCAGCCTTGAGTCGATGTGGTCAGTCCATCAATCTTGAAAATAATACAGCATATGTGCGGAGAAGTGGCTTTATATACCGTTGGCAGGAAAGGTGCAGCAGTCGTAGGCGGTGTCACATTTGTTCAATGTGGAAGTAGGTCGTGTCCAAAGGTTAGGCAAGCGAAGAATTCCCAAGATCCCAAGAAGTTGCAGTGTCTGACAGGATTACCTCATTCTCCTCCTGTTCTGAAGTCACTGTGTGGCGAAACGTTTCCTCAGTAAAGATAACCAAGAGTTGCACATGTGTCTAATTTATCAACCATGAATGTCGTTCAGGTCGGTGAAAAGCCTAAATGCAATAAGTTATTAATTAAGTATAACCAAGGCGCTGCTGATTTCCTTAGTCGTAGAATAATTGGTGCTTTAAGGGATGTTAATGTGAACGTGCTTATGAACACAAAAAAGAGAGCATAGTATCAACATCCGTGGAGAACATAGTATCAACATCCGTGGAGAACATAGTATCAACATCCGTGGAGAACATAGTATCAACATCCGTGGAGAACATAGTATCAACATCCGTGGAGAACATAGCATCAACATCCGTGGAGAACATAATATCAACATCCGTGGAGAACATAATATCAACATCCGTGGTCCCATATACTCCAGCATCTTACCAGAGGATATCAGAAACTCCTGGGACAAGTGTAGAAGCCTTCAAGAAAAAACTGGACACGTCCCTTCAACAAGTGCCAGATCAACCAGGCTGTGACGGATATATGGGCCAGCGGGCCGCCAACAACAGCAACCTGGTTGACCATGCAAGCACCAGACAAGCCTGGCTCAAGGCGGGATCAAAGAGTAGGAAAACTATCGAAACTCATCAAAAGTGTATCAAAGGTGTATATGGGGATTCTATGAGAAAAATTCTCTATAAAATGCATAAAGTTATGGGAAAAGGCATCTGTTGGTTATCAAGGATTGTATGTTCACAAATAATATCAGAGACGTCTGTTGACTGTCACCTCCTTCTCTTCGGAAAATAATATATATCGGGAGTCTCTTCGTTTGAGTAAAATATTCAATTATCCTGTACTTGGTAAATAACTTCTAACTAATTCGTTTGCCAACATCTTGAACTCCAGCACATAAGCAGATAATGATATTTTTCCCAATATTGTACTATCATTGGGTACGGGAGTAAAATCTTAGGTAGCTTTGGGTAGAGGTCGTTTTGATAAGGACCTGCCTTGTATGGGCCAGTAGGCCTTCTGCAGTGTTCCTCCATTCTTATGTTCTTATGTAATATTATTTAACCTGCTACCCGTATCCTTCATCCTACCCCCAGGGTAACGTTTTCATTCTTCTCGTATTTTCACTGGTTCAGAATGTTCTTTCCAGATATTTAATATGGTGATGTTTGGACAGAGCAACTAAACCATTAATATATTACATATTTGACATACTTGCCTTGTGTGCGGCCAGCAGTAACAGCCTGGTTGATCAGACCCTGATCCACCATGAGGCCTGGTCTCAGACCGGACCGCGGGGGCGTTGACCCCCAAAACCCTCTACAGGTAAACTCCAGGGAACCCTGGACTCTGAATGGCTACCATTTCATCACATTCATTTCCCTGTCAGTGGCTTCACATTTTCCACAAATCTAATTTGATTTATTTACTCTTTTCTAACTATAGGTTAGAATTCACCAGGAAACAAAATATTGGCCAGAATGTTTGGAAGGGTTGGGGGAGGAGTGACATGCTATTGGTCTCTTGTCATCACTGACGTTGCTAGAGATAGTAGTGCACTGGTTGGCAGGTATTACCTGACTGGCCCATCTCTCGGAAATTTCTCTGCTGTGAACTTCCACAACTATTATATTCTGATTACATCCTGGATCTTACAAGAATTCACCATGTTCACTGTTCATTCTGGTTTTTTTTTTTTTCTGCTAACCTGTCATCGTTAAACTCTGTACACGAGATGTTCTTTCTGTCTTTTGTATCAGTATGCAGAGCTGGAAAAACAAATCATTTCGGTGCTCCTAAATCTCTTCTGATCAAGAAAACTGTACCTATTTCCAAAATATTGAGCGAAATGTACCTCTCAACACATTTTTAACAATATATTTTATGGGTTCCTCTGCGAAAATTTTGATAAAGATAATCATGTGTTTCTCATATGTTTAAATACGATACAGAGATAATTTCTGAATATTTTCAATATTGTAAATAATAATATAATTCACTTTTGACTTGAATCAATTGACTATAAGATATTTTCATAAATTTTTGTAAATATTAACTTTTCTCATATACACACAGTATATATATTAATAACTTTCTTGAATTATGAGTAAAGAAAAGACAATTTTTCAAAAAAAATTTAAGTATAATAGAGAACAAATAATATTTCCTTCGAAAGTTTAGCTGGTTTAATATATATAATATGGCAGTTTAAGATACATTTTAAGACATGGCAGTTTAAGAGACATTTTTATTGTGTGCCTCAGTGGACAGGCTAAACATACATATGTTTTAATTTAGGAATAAAAACGCTGACAGCTGGGCTGTCAGCGTTATATAGAATTTAGCCATATAGTGAAGAACTCTGCTAGATGAGTCTCACTGACTCAGGAATTATCACTACCACAATATCAGTCAAGTAACACTTATACTTTAGAGTAAAGTGTAAACACTTTACAAGTGATGATCACATCTTACACAGTACCTTTATATAAAAAAAATAAGCCTAGGAATATATATTTACAAATACGACTACAAGATAATATATATTTAACATCCAATATTTATGCATATATCTAACAATTAAAATATCCATATATCTAACAGTTAAAGTTTACATGTATTGAACATGTACAGACGTAGCCATAAGCATGAAGACAGAGACCAGACCTCTGTAGCACTGATTTTTGTTCCAGAGTAACCGGTGGCGAACTATTTGACCGTATTGTGGAGAAAGGTTCCTACACAGAGAAAGATGCTGCTGATCTGATACGACAGGTGTTAGAAGCAGTTGATTACATGCACGACCAAGGTGTTGTCCACAGGGATCTCAAG